TGAATTCTTAGAAAATCGGAATAACATTTTCGAAGACATCTCCCTAAAAGCGTTCTTGAGGCAAAGTTTCAGGGTTTTCGATTTTTCGAACCTGTCCAGCGATTCTCGATATTTGGAGTCAGTGACTCTTAGGTCCCCATCACCTGTGACCGGTTTGACCTTTGGGACGGGTGTTAGATGGGAGTTTTTGTATTTAGAGCATTGTACATAGGAATAGGTCAGCTTTGTGGCGCCATTCGAAGTGTTGTAACGTTAAATTGACAGGGAGGTTTAACGAAGAAATAAATTAAGTTCGCGGAAACTCTCTGTTTGTTTTCTCTGGGTAAGGGTTAGGGTCAAAAAGAGGCAGTTGGTTAAGTTTAACAGCATTTATTGAAGAAAAGGAAAAAGAAATTACAGTTTGAGACGTCTCTTGGCTTGCATGATTTTCTTGACGGCTTTTTCCGTCATAGTCTTTTTCCCGGGTAACAATCGATGGATCGAATCATGACGTCATCGGCTTTCCATTTATCTTGCAAATTCCTCGCTTTGCTGTAGGCAATGTCATGATACATTGCAATCCGGTCCAATCTGTTTTTCGGCTTGTCTCCGCGTTTCAAACGTTTGGCCAGTTTGGTGCCAGGGCCAGCAAAATTATAGCCCCCTGGAATATGAAACTCCATGCCTGTGTTCTTTAAAAATCAAATTTCCTCCCTCGCTGTCTCCTTCTACTGGGTCTTGTACGTTTCCGTTTACCAGTCTTGGCCATTGAGTTTCTTTTTCGTAAGCGTTCCAAATGGTTTCCAACCAGCGGTGGTTTCTAGTTTTTTCAACACGCCTTTTTTGGCCCCTTGTACCGCTGCTTTATAGAGTGAAGTCCCGTGTTGTTTACGATGACCTCTCGTAATACGTTTGGTAGCGGAGGCTGCTTTTTTAGCCGGGGTATCCCAAGGGTCAGTGCCGTAGGCAGTAGCAAAGACTAATGAAGCAGAGGCACGACCTTTTGATTTTGGAGGAGTCTTGTATGATTGAGAGAATATCCAAGGACTTCCTGTTACCCACCCTTAAGCAGAAAGTGGGGTTTTTTGCGATGTCTTAGGTCTTTCCTTTGGACCCTGTTTTAAAGGAGTACTTGGGTTTTTTGCCGCTTGCGGGTGTCACCGGTGACTACTTGATAGCGGGTGTAACGGGTGTTTGCGGTAGGTTAGAGACTGCTTTCCTTTTTATACCCTTCTGAATCTTGGCAATATTTCCCATGAATTGTTACAGCGGTCCCACGGCTAAATTATATTCATCCTCATCGTCTGTATTGTCACGTCCTACAATGCGTGTACCCCCAGGCTGACGAACTTTCTTGGTCCATTGTCGTAACTGTCGATTGACAGATTTTAAACGGGTTTCTTTCCAGGTAGCGGGGGCCTGACTTTCTAGCAACAGTTCTTGTTGGGCCACTAAACCCGCTGCTTTGATCAGACGACTATCATCTAAGGTTTGGTTTGTATTTATCCCTTAGCCGTAAAAATTGAGCAGAGTTTTCCACGGGCGTGCTACTAATACCATCCATGGTGAGCAATGAAGGTCTGATTCACAGAGAAGCAATACTTATACTTTTTTGGACGCAAACTTCTTGGGATATTTTTCTTTCATTCGTTGGTGAAGGTTTTTCAAGAGGGTTGCCAACGTCATCAACCCTTCAAGCACACACAGCAGTCGTTGGAACAAGACTTGTTTCATCTCAATAGCGGTAGTGGGTCTTAGCATAATGATAACAACGTCTTAATTCACTCCAAACACCTGCTCCTAATTGATGAATCATGAGTTTGCGTCTTCTTTTTATACTCTGACGAGGACTTGCAATCAGGCGAAGCTGTTTGCTGTAGGGTTTTAATTTGGGCACGGTTTTTCTGCCAGGGCGAATCGCCCCACGCAAGGTATTCCTGACTAATTCACTCACAGCATTAATTTGAGCTGCATTGCCTTAGCGAAGTTTTTGTTGACGTTTGGTTTGGTTGGTTTCCTTTAAGACATCTTTTAAAAAGGCCCCTTGTCGTGTCATACGTCCCGTCATCGTGCTTTAGTCCTCCTTTGGGGTCTGCGTTTCCTTTAATACTTCAGTTTGGATAAGGCATGTAAAGCTTTGATGCTGCCATAATTGGCTGCAGCGCCTTGTCCTCCCATTGCAGCTGCTTTCCCTCCGGCCACTAACGCAGGGATTGCTCCTGCTAAGAAGGGAGCTATCACTCCACGTTGTCTTCCCACCCCAGGTTTGCGCTTTCTAGAGTTCCCGCGTCGTCGGTTTTTCATGGTGAATGAATGACTAACGGATCGAACACCTTTTTATATCCTCATCAAAGGTATGGACCTGAGGTTTGCCTTCTCGTTCGGTTAATAAATGACTCCATAAGCGAAAATGATCATCGGACGCAGGGTGTAAATCCAACATGAAATACCCAAAAGGGCAAGCAGTCAGTCTCAAAAATAACTTGAGCACACGACGCCATTTGTCTGGGTACACTTGCAGTAACAAATTACGAATGCCCGTCTTGTCACGAGGACTTTTTAAGTAAATAGCATAATGGGCATTGTGGTTGATGGTAGTAGCAAAGTTGCCGGGAGGAAGCAAGTCCTGGGTTAGATACAAGGCGTAACACCTTGATGATGGGAATCTTTGGTAAATAAATCCAACACACGTTTATCATTGCTAGATTCCTCCATCAGATCATCGAGAATGAGAATCCAATGATGGTGAGGTTTAAACCATTTGACTAACGCTCCTTCAGGAGGAAGACCTTTGTAAAAAAAAAGACGTTGGATTGTTTTTTCATGCGGTCAAATCGAGGTTGCCATCGATCGTAACAGTAGACCATCTTTTTCGGAGGGGGATAAAAGAGTTTTCTCTCCTTCAAGAGGTTTTCAACGANAGGGGGATAAAAGAGTTTTCTCTCCTTCAAGAGGTTTTCAACGAGTTCACTCTTGCCACTACCAGAAGGTCTGGCAATAATCACACTGGCGGGTTGACGAATCATGTTTTCCACAGTTTACGAAAATGCTTGTAATGACCTGTGGCTCCCACAGCACCCATACGTTTATACCCTTTGTCCTTGCCTAATTTATACCCAATTTTGGCTGCTGTGGATAAGACGGTACCAAGTCCTTTTCCTCTCTGATAATGATGGACGTTGTCTTTTATACCCTTGAAGGCCTGCTTGGCTAAAAAGGCGCCCATTTTAGCAAAACTGGGAGAGGGCCCTGACAAACCCATGGCAACGCCTTCTGCAATTTTATCCACTAGACGGAGTTTTCTTCTAAATCGTGCTCCCCCTTTTTTACCCTTTCGCTTGGCTGTATGTGTTCGCCCCAAAGTGTATGATACAAACGCGAAGAGGCTAATTGAATGAGAGTCTGCATGTGTCCCCTTATGGTTTCCCCCATCCTTTCAATATAGTGTTTCATGGCCTCCCAAGCTTATTGTTGAGCCAATTGAACCACCTGCTTCCAATGAGACCCATCCCATTGATCTTGGTCAAAAATCTCCTAGGGATGTTGACTCATATACAGTACCTTGGCTTTGGCAAAGGCCTCATAGATTTGACGGGAATCCTGACGTGTAATCATGCTAACAGTACACCCTATACAATCTGGGAGAAACTAATGCTAGGGTAGTAAACACCACCTTTTTAAGGATTGGTTTGTCCAACGGAAAGGTGTTTAATGCAGACCATTGATGAGATCTGGCAAGGGTCATAATCTCCACCCAGTCTTGTAAAGTACCCAAGGGCCAATGACAATGACAGTACCATTGATACAACAAATAGATATGGGCTTGCGTAAAAGCCAATCCCTCTATGACACTTTGCTCATCCCCATGCATTAACGTGATCAAGAATGAAAGACACAGAGTTGGGTACACGCATTTTTTGTAAATCATAAAAAAAGCAAAGGCACAACGGCTTACATTGGATTGTTTACAACTCAAATCTTTCCTAGTGAGCTCTGTCTTAATTAGACGTTGAATCTTTTCACCCGCACGCCTATCATTTAACACTAAATTTTGTGAGTTCCATTGCGGTAAAAAATCTTGAAAGGACGGATGCTTGGCTTTGGCTTTTAAAAACAAGAGGGCATAATGTCCACAGGTTTGACTGTCCATGGCTTGCAGGGTATGATCACTGGTAATGACTTCTTTCCATTGCTTGAACCAAGCTTGTAACTGTGGGTTCTTGTAAGTGGATAAGGGCAAATCATAACTATCAAAGACTTCACACACTGATTCCTGGATATAATGTTTTTTTGCCTGAGCACTTCTCGAACGGCCGCCCATACGTATCAGCTAATAAGAGTACAAAAAATCAAATTTCCACACACGGTGTTGTGCAAGCTGGATTCATATAATGCGAGAGAACAAAAAAGCTTATGTGTTCGTATGTTTCGTGTGTTCCGAAGAAGAAGATAGCAAATTTATTTGCAGGAATGTTCCCTTCTGGTGCAGGAAGATCAATCTAAATGAAGACAAGAAAACAGCAAATTTAAGAGTTGAGTTCCACACATCCTCGGAGACCCAGGGGCAGTCAGTCGGGCCGGGTTAAAAGGCGCGACAAAAGTTTTCAAGCATGGGCGGAAGAGCCCCTGGGTACCGACTCTCACCGGACCATTTCCAAACGGTCAAGAGAATGCTGGTTCCTGATTGGGCGCAAAAAATGCTTTGTATTATTGTGCCCAATCGGCGAACAGTTTCTCCTGAGTTCTTTTCGTGAGTTCGTACACGACGGAAAAAATGTGAGTTCACTCTTCATGCGACGTTTTCGTGGTTGTCAGCTGTCGTGGCATATTAAACTCCCTAATATTTACGAAGGCGTGATCGTTGCAAGCGTGAATACCTGTTGTAAACTCAAGCTTGTATTTTGTTACCTCACCTACCTGAGGTCACCCACCTCCATGTAAACAGGCCCTAAAGGTCGAGATATAGTCCCCCTCCGTTCAGGAGGGGGATTACGACGAGTCAAAAGATACCACTGGCCGAAAGCAAACAAACAAAATAAAAAATAACATGTCATCCTGAAAAGAAATTCGCTTTCAAACTGATCAATTGACCATACTCTTTATTCTGATAATAGATAATTTTCCGTACAAGATTGACTCCTAAAACTTGAGATCCTTTCCGAGATACTGTAAACCGTTCCGAACTAGATAAAGGAAAAACACTGAATGATTGAATGATCCGATTACACAATCTCTAACGCCTATTTGTCACGTGTTCTCGAGCTACGACCCAGTCCTATCTTGTTTACAACACACTCCCCCCTGATTGACGAAGTCAATCACAAGGTGAGAAAACTAATACCTCAAGATTTGGTTCAATGTTCAAAGACTCCAAAGTCTCTGCTCCGACAGATTACGTAGCAATAGTCACTGCTGGAATATCCTCATCTCTGACCACCTGAATGTTTCTGCTTCGGGGATGCACACTAGCTCCTACTACAGTAACTGGGTCCTTGTTGCGCGCATTGACTTTAAGTGGGTAGAGCTTCTGAATTGGTCGTTTTAAGCAAACCTGGCGAGGAGAATTGCCCACTGTAACCACTTCCAGCTGCATGCTCTACATCATCCCTTCTACGCAGAAGCTTTTCTTCTTTCTCTAGGAATGGAGCTCCCTTCCACCAGACATCACTGGATACAAGATCAAAGGCTTTAGAACCTCGTGAAGTAATGTCACTTGGGTTAAGCTCAGATGGGCAATATCTCCAGTGGTTCTTGCTCCAAAGACTCCTTATGTTCTCTACCCGATTTTGGACAAACTGCTTAAATTGCTTCGATTCGCCATTGATCCACCACCACACAATTTGAGAATCAGTCCAGTTAATCACCGCGTCAACTTCAATTGTGGTACCAACGCCTTATACACTGCTGTAATGAGAAGGGCTAATGTCAAACAAGCGATGAGTTCAAGTCGGGGAATTGTTTCTGCTTTCAAAGGGGCGACTCGGGTCTTGGAGGCTAGCAGGTGTGAATAATGTCCATTATACGTTGTCACCTGAACATACATATTTGCGCCATAAGCAATCCTGCTTGCATCTGCAAACCCGTGCAGCTGAACACATTTGACCTGCTCTGCTTCTATTCTATCCATGATGCAACGGGGGATTGTAAAGCTTGAAATCCCTTCTATGTCTTCCACCAATTCCTTCCAACGTGAAGTGAGGTCTTCCGGAAGAGCTTCATCCCATTCAACCTTAAGCTGGCAAATTTCTTGAAACTTGCATTTATAGGGCAGAATAAGTGGTGACAGCAAGCCTAGTGGATCATAGAATCGAGCGGTAACGCTCAACAGTTTTCGTTTTGTTAGAGTTCCACTCAATGTCTGCTTAGAGAACACGGTGAGATCAAACTTGAAACAGTCTTCTGACTTGTCCCACATAACACCCATGACCTTGACAACAGTTTCTTCACTCATGACATTGCTGTTAGTAGACTTTGGTTGGTCAATATTTTCAGTTTCAACAGACTTGGTTGGTTCCACTGCAGGTTTTCCAGATAACAGAGTGGGGTCTTCTTTCTTGATTAATTCGTTTAACTCTCTGCTGTTTGACGCTCACTTCCTCATATTTAATCCCCCTTTCCTGAAACCTGTTGTCAGCTTCTGATAAAGTTAAAAACAGTCCAATACAGTGTTCTTTCCAGATGCAAAGTCATCAACATACAAGGCTTTGATTACAGTGCTCCATTACCAGAAATTAGGGACAAGATAGCGGTTGTGCGTGCGCACTAAGGCCACAATGGCTGCGAATTGGTATAAGAACAATCTCGTTCCCAGAGGCCACGATCCTTTTGGTCAGCGACAGGGATCGGGACCTCTGGGATAATCCGTTTCCCGACAACAGGATTCTTGTTGTCATCCCGACTGCGCAGGCCCAAACCAGTTTGGAAAATGGCGTCTAATTCAGAGGATTCGTTTCACGAGGCGATTAAGTTCTCTTTGGAAAAACTTGGCAAACCAGACCTGGAACTAAAGAGGGAACAATTTGACGCCATAAGGGCTGTCTGTGTTGAAAGAAAGGACGTTTTAGCCGTATTGCCGACGGGTTTTGGTAAATCTTTAATTTATCAAATTTTGCCTGCAATATTTGATTTCCTTCGAAGCAGAGGGGACAAGCAAGAAGAAAACTCTGTCGTTATAGTTGTTTCTCCTCTTAATGCCTTAATGAAGGACCAACTTAAAAAATTAGAAGGATTTTTAAATGTCTGTGTCGTGCAAAGTGTGGAAGACGAGGAAGGAGAGAATAAAGTAAATTTGCCTCAAGATGTGAGGAAATGCAGTTTGTTGTTCGGTCATCCTGAGGTTTTTGTTGACCACAAGAACACCGCGAAAATGCTTAAAGAGAAGCATTTCCAAGAAAGTGTTCAGGCGATAGTAATCGATGAGGCGCACCTAGTTCAACAATGGTTAGTGTACTTTAGCTTAATCACACATTTAAGCTTATATATGAACGTTATTAACAAATAATATAAATAATAACATAAAATAGTTATCTAATAAAGACTAAAAGTCGGACACTATTTTCCACACTATTTTAAATGAAGCCAATTAAAATTAATAACAAGTTACAGATTTTTTTATAGAATAGTAAACATGCGTACTATATTAAAATCTTATTTATCTGTCAATAAATCTTCTATTTTAATATGTACATATAAGATATAACCCTTAAGCTTCTTAAAAGTTTTAGTCACAATATAGCTTGGATTTTAATACTGAATTTTGAAGTGAAAGTTGATCTTATTTAAAAAAGTAATATAGTTGTTCCTTCTTGTCCTGTGCCATTCATACAGGAACTGAACTGGCTTATAATGTTGATATAGTTTTGAAAATACATGTTTCCACTGGTCCCTTCTGTAGTAGATAACAACAACATTTTGTTGCACCAATAACAAGAAAATAAAGCTAGTTTTAATGTGCAAGGTATAAGCTTATTAATATTATCTCAGTGAGTCTGGCTTCCTGGCTTAACTTAATTTAATTACAGTACTCTTATTATTATTATATACAGTAGTGCTGTAATTAAATTATGCCAGGAAGCCAGAGTCACTGAGATAATTATAAAAAAAGATTTTGCTAAAGATTACGTGAATTTTCTTTCAATAAGGGCTTTTCCCTTTTGTATTTAAGGTCCACATTCAGGCCAGCATATGGGAAGATTGGGTTTCTAACCAATTTGTTCCCCTTAGTACCAGTTGTGGCCCTGACAGGAACAGCAACAAGTGCCACTAAATGTAGCATAGTGGAAACATTGGGGCTTTCAAATCCAAAAATTGTTGAAAGTAACCCAAACAGAGCAAACATTTACTATGCATCGCACACTCGTCCTGACAGAGGTGATGAGAAACTTGATTCAATTTTGGAACCCATAGTTGCTGAGTTGAAAGCCTATAAGGTAAAGATGCCCCTTACGTTGATTTATGGAAGCCTCGAAACTATTTCCGACTGCTTTTTGTATTTTAGCACAAAGATGGGTAAAGATCAATTTTATCCGCCCAATGCTGAACCCTTGGCCAAAAACAGGTTGTTTACCCAATATCATGCCCAATATCCCAAAAGTGAACGCTCTAGGATTGTGGAGGAATTAGTACAGGGCACTTCAACCCATCGTGTTCTTTTTGTAACCATTGCTTTTGGACTAGGTATTGACTGTAATGACATTCGAAGAGTTGTACACATTGGGGTGCCATACTCAATGGAAGATTATTGTCAAGAAGTGGGCAGAGCTGGGAGAGATGGTCTACCTGCCAGGGCTGACATATATTATAACTCATATGACATCTCCAGATCACGAAAAAATATGACAGATGTGATGAGAAACTACGTTAAGTCAAAAGAATGTAAAAGAAAAATGATTCTAAATTATTTTGATCATAAAGTTCCTTCCACCCAAGGACCAGCACATATGTGCTGTGATTTTCACAGTGCTCAGTGTGCTTGTGATGACTGCCTATTGGCAAGAGCTGCAGATGACATGGACTGTGTAGATACCAGGTACCCTGATCAACCATGTGATTCTTCAAGAGATCAGTCAGATAATGAGCCAACTCCTTTGTTCAGTGAGGGTATTCAAGCAGAAATCAAGAAAGACCTTATAAATTACAGACT